ATAGCTAGGATTACAGGCGTAAGCCCCTAGCATTTGACTTAGGACCTAAACTTTTTATTCAAGAAGTCCAAGAAAGACTTTCTTCTCAGGAAGAACATTTGTGTTTTCTTTCCTTCCTCTTTCATTATGCATCCTTTCTTTCCTGAGACCCAAGTGAGGTTGGAGAAACTCTCTACTAAGGTAGAAGTCAGGATGAAACATTATCATCCACTCATGACGAATATCCAAAACCAACTGCCCCAGACTTATCTGATAGTATGTTTATGGTCCTCTTCAACCTGACTGAATGGGAGACATCAAAGTCCAAGTTGGCAAAGATGAGACTGGTCCACAATTTCCAGGCTCTTGGACTTGAAGGCAGTTCCTCAGACACCAGGCAAATGCATGCTACCCACCTGCTCCCCAGCCCACACCACTTCATCATTTCTCTCTTGGGGCTGATTGGGATAATTGAGATCCATAGCATGCCCCTGTGACAATTTCAGAGCATGAAGTAAGCTTTGTTATTTATATTTTAGCGCCTTGTTAGAACGCAGCATCTCCGCCTTTGTATCTTTGTATGAAGAACTGAGGAGGACAGCTGATGATGGTCTCTTGGATACTGTTAATGGCTCATTTTCACTTGGCAAGGAAGAGCTTCTGTTTGAGATGGAAATCAGCACTTGCACACCCTGGTGGGTGCCCCCAGGAGATGATATAGTCAACTACAGATACTCACTATCAGCAGGTCCCCCAGGAGGCAGACCGGCGCCCTTCCCTGCCCATTCTTTACATACACAGCTGGCAGGAAGGACATCACATTCCCTCAGTCACTGCGCTTCTCACTTGAATTCAGCATTATAAGCCACGTAAGGTAATTGTATCTTATTTTTCTGGTCTTGGGGTTTGAACTCAGCGCCTGAGTACTGTTCCTGAACCTCTTTGTGCTCAAGGTGAATGCTCTATCACATGAGCACAGCTCTGGTCTTTTTTGAGTAGTTTATTGGAGATTTGAGTCTCATAGACTTTCCTGCCCCGGCTGGCTTTGAACTCATATCCTCAGATCTCAGCCTCCTGAGTAGCTAGGATTAAAGGTGTGAGCCACGGATGTCCTGGCTAAGGTAATTTTTAAGAAGTCTTCTCATCATGGGACTGGACTGAGGGCTGGAGGGGTCTGGTCTGGTAATGAACCCAGAATTCAGATTCCTCCTGTGGTGATCATAGGCCTCTTCACCCCAGCAACTGAGAAGATCCAGCTGGATATGTATTTATGGGGTGGGTCAGGGTTAAGAGCTGTTGGCTTGGGGTCAGCTCCTGGGGCCATTTCCACCTCTGATCAGACAAGAGTTCGCCAAAGCATTAGAGACAAGACCATGCTGGTTACTGTGGCAACAGACCTGGAGCTTCCCGAGTTTCAGCTGGAGGTTTTGCAGCTGTGACAACCCCTGGGAACCCTTCCTTCTCAGGGGACTTCACCTCCCGCCCCTCCATGTGTTTTCAAACTAGAAGGGAGGTGTAGAAGGAGAGAAAAGCCCGAGCTTTCATCTTTGCTGGCTGGGAACTGGGTGTTCTTGCTATCTCTGGGTTAGCCAAAGGGGTTGTGAGGGTGTGGACGCTACTCTGTCAGAAGATGGAAAGAAAATGACCAGAAGTAGATGAGTAGTCCAAGCCCACCAGAAGGAAAGAAAAGCATTTCTAATTGCCCCGAGGTGGTTGCTAACTTGATTCAGGCAGTCTTGCCGTTGGCCACCCTAGTTTGTGCAGGGACCAAGGCTCCTGAAAATTTGTGGGATGACAGAACAGGTGAGAAAATTGTGAGTCATAATAGTGTGTGAAGCACTGGAGAAATGGAAGAAAACTAGACATTCTGCTTGCAAGGAGTTTACAGTCTAATGAAACTGGCAGACAGACGACAATACAACCAAGGGCAGGTGAGAGGGGCTGCCCACGGCCCAGTGCTCCTCAGTGAGCACTGCTGTGTATATTTCAGTCAGTTTGTGCTGTCAGCTGATTTAAGATAACCTTTTAATCAATGTTCTTTTATTTATTCATTCATTCTTTATTTCTTTAACTTATTTAGTTCCAGTATTAGGGCTTGAACTCAGGGACTCAAGCTCTCACTTGGCTTTTTCACTCAAGGCTGGTGATCTACCACTTGAACCATGCTTCTACTTTGGGTTTAGGGGATAAGAATTTCATGAATTTACCTGCCTCAGCTGGCTTTGAACTTTGGTCCTCAGGTCTCAGCATCCTGAGGATCTAAGATTATAGGCATGAGCTGCCATCACCTGGCTGTGTGTGTGTGTGTGTGTGTGTGTGTGTGTGCCAGTACTGCAGTACTGGGGCTTGAACTCAGCGCCTGGATGCTCCCTGAGCTTTTTTGCTTGACTGGTGCTCTGGGTCTTAATGCTGTCCCTGAGCTCTTCAGCTCAAGGCTAGAGCTCTACCGCTTTAAGCCACAGTGCCACTTCGGTTTTCTGGTGGTTACCCAGAGATAAGAGTCTCAGGACACAAGTGGGCTTTTCTTTCTTGCTATTGTTTTTAGTATTTATAATGTACTATGTGATGTCTTTGTTTCTTTTGTATGGTATAACCCCTGTTTTCACTGTGTTCAATTCTGGTGCCCTGAGTCTTGTACATACATTTTTCTAATTTGGGGAGGGGAAGGGAAATAAATGCTGAAACAAGGATACAGGTTGACCCATTGTAACAATGAGATGTACAAGACACTATGTTGAAAACAAACTCTACAACTTTGCGGGGGATGGGGGGGGAGAGAGGAGTTGGAGAAGTGGGGAGGGAAGGGATGGTAGGGGAAAAACAAAGGAGAAGGTAACAATGCTCAATAGGAAAAGTACTCATTACCTTACTTATGAAACTATAACCCCTCTGTACAGTATTTTTACAAAAAAAAAAAAGTCTTACTGCTTTCCTGCCTGGGCTGGCTTTGAACCATGATCTTCAGATCTCAGCCTCCCGAGTAGCTAGGATGACAGGTATGAGCCACCAGCACCTGGCTAATGCATTTTTTTTGGGGGGGTGGTCCAGTCGTGGGGCCTGAACGCTGGGCCTGGGCACTGTCCCTCAGCTCTTCAGCTCAAGGCTAGCGCTCTACCACTTGAGCCACAACGCCACTTCCCGCTTTTTTCTTTTTGCTTATGTGGTGTTGAGGAATCGAACCCAGGGCCTCAGGCATGCAAGGCAAGCACTCTACCACTGAGCCACCTTCCCAACCCCTGGCTAATGCATTTTTGAAAGGCACTTCTTAGCTGGTTGCAGGTGGCTCGTGCCAGAAAAGGAAAGTATTTCAGAAATGAACAAAGAAAAGCAATGAAAGGAGGCAAATGATTGGTTCAATGCTGGCTGCCATGAAACAGACTAAATCAGGACAATTTTTATCACTTGGGGGGGAAATCTTCAGAAACTCTAATCCCATAAAGAACGTGGGTCCTTTCCCCCCACTGGTAGGCACTATTCCATACCCCAAACTTCAAGATGTGGAACTTGCTGAAACACAAATTAGTGCTTCCATCTTTCCACACTGCTAAAAGTATGCACCTAATGATGTTCTTGAGAGCAGATGGGCCACAGATAGTACTATATTCCCACACTTTCCCTCATCTGTCCAGACCAGCTCTTGCCCTGAAAATGCTACATGACTGTCAAAATGCCACATCTATGCACCTAAGGGGTAGCTTCCATCAAATATGAAAACACCAAAACTCTCAACCTCATCTCAACAGATCCATCAAAAAGGGAACTTTCTGGGTCTTGGCCCACGTGTAAGACATACAAAGTTGTTTGGGACAGATCTGGTATTAATTATCTAGCGCTCTCCACTGGAATAAGTGGTTTATCCCAAGGAGGTTTACACTGGAGTCTAACCAACCTGCCCCGGGGTGGATACAGAACCAATTCTGGCTCCAGACTATTCCAAATCATGTGTTTTGCAAATGTGCCCTGGCATGAAAAATGGCCCTCATACCATGGCAGATGTGCTCTTTCGTATGCAGGCGTACTTTAAACTAATATATGACCTTAGTACTGAGTGGTCTAGAGAGGCCTCCCTTGTTATGTTACACGTCCTTGCTTTGATCTTCAGAATAACTTCTTCCTCTACTCTTCCACCTGCTCTGCCCGCTTCCTCACCACGACCTGGAGACTTTCACTTCAAACCCAGAAACAATAGGTGAACTTACCCCAGGGGAACCTATCCATTAGCCAGATGTCTTAGATTCCTTAGTTTTCTCCTTATGGCAGCTGCCTTGTTTTGATCTGTTGGGCTTGGGCAAATAGTTTCAGAAACAAACATGGTTGGGATGCAAACATCCTGTGTGAGTCAGGAATGTGCTTGTGCTCTCTCTTTTCCAACTAAACTTTGAAGTTTTTCCTTTGGTATCTTAGACATGGCTTAGCTAAACCATTTGAAAAGGTGTGAAAGAATTTTAAGCTTGGAACCACAGGACAATTTTAAAGCACAGAACAGGGAAGAGTAGGAAGTCTTTTTTCCTTCTTGATGCTATCTATACTCTTTACAAATGTATGTCTGGGGTAGAAAAGAGTTGATAATATTTTCTTTAGGCAGATTTTTTTTTCCTGATCTTACTTAGATGAAAAGTAGAAACACTTGTGGAGATCTGGGGAACTGTAGGGACATTGGTCATTTTTTACTACTGAATGATTTTTAAAAGCATTTTCAAATCAGGACCTGTTTTCTTTAAAAAGCCTAGGTTTTGAACTTTATGCCTATATCCCTAGCCTACAAATAGTATAGTTAAGGAAAAACCATGTGGGTCTTACATAGGAAATTAAAAAAAAAAACTTATTTGATGTTTGCTGTTGAGGATATAATAAAGTTTTAAAGATGAATATTTACTATTCACTTTGTGCTTGCCCTCATCTTCTGTCTCTAGAAAATTATTTCATTAGATTCTACTTACATTTGTTACCTCTATGAGTTAATAAACACAAATCTTTACTTTGTATTGGAAGACTCATTTATTCACGACTCCAGAGGCAATTTAAATAACTCACTGGGAGGGGGAGAGTTAAGGCTGGAACCACCAGATAGTTATTGGAGAAAGTGGAACTTGAATGAGTCCTTAAGAAGTAGAAGGAGTCCTCCATCCCAGGAGGAAAGGTAAGCTGCCTGTTGGAAACAAAAGTATAGGCCAAAGGATAGAAATATGGTTGAGGTATAATGCAATGTTTTTGTAAAACATCCAATCTCTCCCTAATAGATTCTGCCAAATTGTCCTAGTGATTCAGGTAGCCTTAGTGAAAGAAGCCCTTACTACTTTTGAAAGGATTGTTCACATTCTTGGCTAAAGAGGAGGCAAACTGTGTAAAGCTAGAAAAGAAGTGGCTTGCAAATACTTTCTCAAACTTGGAGCCGATACTGAGAGATGTGTCCTCCTTGAGTAGGGTCTGTTCCCCCAAGTGGCAGAGCTGCAAATTGCATTTCATTTGAATATCTATAGCTCATCCTTTCTAATAGCTCCTGGAGTAGGGATAACTCTTCAAGACCCACAGGCCATGGCATCTTTTGCCTTGTGTGGTTACCAAAACCTAGTCCAACCCAGAGGACAGAAAATGGCTCCGGAAGATGTGATCATCTCTTCACTTGCTACCAAAGACTTTTGTGTTCATCTGGCTTAGTCTTCACTCAGCTTCAGGAGTTTCTGGAAGCAATCATAATCAAGCTTCCCTTGCTTGCAACCATGGAAAGTGTAGCGGTGAGTGGAGGATAAGAAAGACAAATACAAAATGCCAAGTGTGAGTTATTCATGTACAACAATGGACTTGCCTTCTTAATGGCTGGAACACTTTAATAGTAACATCAGTTTGCATTTCCTAAGTGAACACTGGTGACTGAGGGATATATTATAGGGGGTTAAAAGGAACAGTAAATGCCAACCCAAGAACTGTTTTCTAAGTTTGGATCTTGAGATCGTTCTTTCTCTCTCTCTTTTTTTTTTTTTTTGGTCCAGTCATGGAGCCTGAACTCTGGGCCTGGGCGCTGTCCCTCAGCTCTTCAGCTCAAGGCTAGCGCTCTACCACTTGAGCCACAGCGCCACTTCTGGCTTTTTTCTTTTTGCTTATGTGGTGCTGAGGAATTGAACCCAGGGCCTCATGCATGCAAGGCAAGCACTCTACCACTGAGCCACCTTCCTAGCCCCTGTTCTTTCTCTTTTAATTAATTAGTTGGTTATAGGTCTTAAACTCAGGGCCTAGGCACTGTTCCTGAGCTTTTGTGTTCAAGCCACAGCCTCACTTCAGGCTTTTTTTGTTGCTTACTTGGAGATGAGTCCCACAGACTTTGTTGCCTGGGTTGGCTTTTTGAATTGCAATCCTCAGCCTCCTCAGTAGCTAGGATTACAAGAAACACTGGTGCCCAGCTTCCTTTTCTCTTTCCTCCCTCTCTTCCACATCCTAGAAAATGCAGTGATTACCTTCACAGATATGCCTGCAGGTACGGATGTGAGTAAGTTGAGAAAGATTTATCTCATGTTGGTAGGTAGACATCCAGACCAGGATGTCTGAATCCTGTCACGTCCTTACTTTGCATCCAAGAAAGCAGAATCTGAAGTTTCAGACCAGAGATAAATGTGAGTGATAAAAAGACATCAAGGTGTCTGAGAACAGTTCAGAGTACAGGTAGCCAGGTGACCTGTGGCCAAATTACCTCCTCTACTCCGTAGCCACGTTCACTTCACTTGCTGTCGCTGCAAAGGAAAGGTTCTCACATGTTTCACTTGCTTTTTTGAGGATGTAAAAATCACGTTTGGGATATCTTCCTCCTCCCTGGCTCCTGGCTCCCTTAGAATCTTGTTTTGTTTTGTGCAATAACCTCTTATCACACAGGAGTGATGCAGTTGCTGGCTGATGTTCAACCCGTTAGGGCTTCCGGCAATGAGTATGACAACCATTCTCCTGTGATTTCTGGCACTTACAGTGGAAAGGAAACAGAGGTGATCCATTATGGCAGAGCTTGTTCAACTGAGCCTTCAACTGCAAACATGTGTTCCCCAGCTCCCAAGTTAATGCTCCTTCCCTCCCCTTCCGTTTTGTCCTGGGAGGTGCTGAGGGACTGTGGAAGTTGAGGGCAATGAGGGGCCATGGGCTCTTCAGAGGAAGGTATCTCCACCTGCTTCCTTAATAACCAGCCATGGGGTGGGATAACTACACCATTTCATAGCAGACATGCACTTTTATAGGCCTCATCTCAGACCACCAAATGAAAACATTCATTGTTTACAAGGTGAATTGCAGTCATAGCCTAGTTCAAAGTACTATTCTAACTCACTAGACCCGAAGTCCACAAACTACAACTCAAGGGTTAAATCTAGCCAGCTGCCTGTTTAGAATTCAGATCTTATTGGAACCACAGAACAGAACCACATTGCTGATGAATTGGTGCCTGTTTTCATGCTTCAATGGATGAGCTGAGTGGACAGCCCCTACAGCTGAAAAGCCTGGAATAGTTACTCTGGTCCTTTACAGTAAAGGTTTGTTGGTTTCTGTATTATAGATGCCTTATAAGTAAGGGGGTGGTCTTAATTCTCTTTGTAAGATAGAATCAGCCAAGTGCAATTGTTATGCACATGAGCTTGGAGTCTGACAAGATTTTTGTTATCTGGATCTGTCATTTTTGTGTGTAAGCAACTGAGTTGACCTCTGTGCCTCATGTACAAAATGGCATATGTAGATGCATCTGCCTTACAGTTGATGAGGGCATTGTGTTCATATGCATAGAATGTTTGTAATCAAATGGTAACTCTTAGGTGGCACTAGGTGTTCTGAGTTGCACGTGTATTTGTTCAATGTTGGTAGAATAACCCATTACAGACAAGTGTCTCAATACATATCCTCACTTCTTCCTTGCTAACTTTCCTTTGGAGTGTCTGATCTTCCTAAATCACTTACCCTCCTCCCTATTTTCTGGGAGTCAATACTATTGCAAGCCAGTCACCATAATCCCATTGATCACTGTGCAGACTGACAGAAGGGTGGGCAGCCCTGGCCAAGGAGTAATTAGAAGACTCTTGAAGGGATTCTGGGAAATGGCTCCCTCATTCTCATTCATAAAAGTCATCAGATGGCCTTGTCTTTTCACAATTTTAGGTCTGGATGTGATGCCAGCAACTGAAGCCGTTTTGGATCTGGTAGTCTTGGGAAAAGCTTACATGTTTAGAAAGGCAGAGCAGAAACCAGGAAGGAATCAGGCCCCTGAACTGATGAGATCCATGAACCCTGGGCTCTTTTTTTTTTTAAACTGATTTTATAGAGGAAAATATAATTCCCTAGCAGTCCAATTTCTATCCAAAGCATCCTATCTCATACAGCCAGGGGGCTATGTTTATATCTGTCTTTACTTCGTATAGGACCTAACAACTGTTGTTGGGTGCTATGAGCAAAGGAAGTGGCATCTGGAAGATTCAAAACCACAATGAGCTATCACCTCATTAGGATGGTGAGTATTAAAGTGCACACACACACACACACACACACGCGCGCGCGCACACACGCGGGTGTGCGTGTGCGCGTGCATTTTAAGTAGAGCTGCAAAGCAAAACTAAGGTGGTTCCTCAATAGAACCATAGATCTTGAAATCTTCTGAGTATTTGTTTCAAAGTGGTAAATGCGGGATCTCAAAGAAGTATTTACATGTATTTTCACTGCAACATTACTTACAATCACAAAGAAGTGAAAGCAAGTTAAATGTCCATGAATTGATGGGGAAAATGTGACATATCCATACAATACAATGTTACTGAGTCTTCATGAAGAAGGAAATTCTGTCACAGGCTCCAATATGGATGTACCTGGACATTATACTAAGTAGAATAAGCTGGTAGTAAGAAGGACATATATTATACAATTCTACTTCTGTGTGGCAGAAGCAGAATGGTGGCTCTTCAACTACCACCACTGTCCAGTGAGGGAAGCGGGAAGTTGTTTCACTGTGTATAGTTTCAATTATGCAAGACAAGAAGCTTCTAGACATCTGTTGAACTTTTTTTTTTTTTTTTACAGTTAACCAACAATGTATGGTACCACTTAATTTGTCAAGGTAGACTTTACATTATGCTTCTTTTAAAAATAAGTCACCATGGGGCTGGGAAGGTGGCTCAGTGGTGGAGTGCTGCTTGTCTTGCATGCATGAGGCCCTGGGTTCGATTCCTCAGCATCACATAAGCAAAAAAAAAAAAAAAAGAAAAGAAAAGAACAAAAGCCGAAAGTGGCGCTGTGGATCAAGTGGTAGAGCTCTAGCCTTGAGCTGAAGAGCTGAGGGACAGCGCCCAGGCCCAGAGTTCAGGCCCCACGACTGGACCCCTCAACCCCCCCAAAAGTCACCTTGTAAATTAGAAACTTCGAAATTTACTAGCTTGTGTTAAGTTAAAAATTATATATGACCCTTTGCTCAGATCTAAAAATATAACTTTTAAGTTTTGTCAAGCCTAATCCACAAGCATGAAAAAAAATGTGGTAGGTTGTTTTGTGATGGATGATTAAGTACAGCTCTCTTGAACTGAAAAAACAAAGGCAAAGATAACGCTGAAAATCTAACAGAAAGTATACAGCATTCTCCTCCTCTTTTATAGAAGTGGTTTTATGAAGAGAGAACCATTACAATTCTGATGTAAATAAATAAAACTTAAGTCATGAATATATGCCAGAGTAAAAGAAATGACTGGAATAGTGAAGACCCAGGCCTCAGCTGCCTTCAGTTACACTCCAAGCTGAAATCTTTCTTAACACCGGTGGCTCCCTCCCAAATGCTGATCTAGCCTACCTGCCACCCAAACTTGGCAAGTTTTTTGAGCAGAGAGCTAGGTTTTGATTATTTCCTTAGTGATATCTATTATTTCCCTCCTGGGTAGAAGTAGGATGTGAGGACAGCTTATCTATCTGGGCCAGGTGGAGTAGAGGTGGGGTCTCTTACATAATGTGAAATTTGAAGAAGTTGTTTGGATTGGAAGTGTCTAAAGATTCCTTAGAATTTCTTGACAGAGAGATTTCATGGTGTGTCAGGTTATCAACGGAGAGAATCTGTGTCACATCTGAGTCAGAAACAGCAGAATGAAAGCAGTACAGAGAGCTAAGTACATGTGAGGGGTAAGGGTAGGGAGAGAAGGCAGAAGAAACTAGGACTGCGCAGTTCCACCTACCCAGAATGCCACAGTCTGCCTGAAGGAGCCAAAGGATCTTCTGGCTGGATTTGTAGCCCTGTAGGTACTCAGGCCATGTAGAAGGCTAAGCTACTTTGGTCTATGAAAATCTAGTGAAGAAGGTACTTAAGAGCACTCAGAGCCTTCAAGTCACTGTCATAACTAACTCTGAAGGACAGAGAGGGTCATGAGACACTATCTCATTTACCTTCTTGCCTTTCAGCAAGAATAGCACACCTAAGCCTCCTAGTTACATCAGAACATAATTTATGGTTAAGAGCTTACAGACCAGGCTAGGGTAGGGTGCAGGAAGGTAGTGGGGTGGGTGGTGGGAAGAGAAGTAACATTATTTCACAACTTTTTCTTCTATGACAATTTTAATTGTGCGCTCATCACCTACTTCATGGTCTTTGAGAACTTTGACACTGGTCTTGATATCCAAGCCCATTCTCAGCAGTCTTAATTCCAGGCAGAAGATCTTCAAGTGGGAGAGTCTCATGCACCAGGGGAAGAGGGTTAGAGGTCAGTCATGGTTTCCTGGTAGTGCCCAGACATGTCTTTTACTAGCTACACACCAGCATTTCACAGGTAGCAGTGCTTCCCTTTTGACTTGCTGCCTGCCTTCTTTTCTACCAGCAGTTTTAGTGGACATTACCTCTGACGGAACACTTTTACCTTCTCAAGTCTTAAGGACTAACTTGATCCTTAAAGCCTACAGGAAGTCAAGCAAAGCCCTTTAAATCTGTTATCATTTTGTGTTCAGAGTAAAAGTTTCCTGCCAAAGACATGTGGACAGAGGTCCTCTCATCTGGGTTTCTATCCTTTGAGCATTCTTAGCCATGGAACAAGTACTTTTCCTTTTCTCTGGAAACAGTGAAGCCCAATATCTAAGTTGCCATGTGATTTTGTTGAAGATAGAGGGAAAGTTATAAATCTTAAAACTTAATGGCTTTTGGGTGGGTGTTAGGAGGAAAGCTTACAAATGCAATCTGTGTTGCAATTCCTTTCAGGATAGGGTGTGAAGGGTGGGTGGATTTACCAGAGGCTTGGCAGTTTTCTTTGAAGCTTTCTGAACAGGAAAAGTGTAGCCGTCCAGGGAATCAGCCTTCATGACAGCCTCAATAAGGCTGCTGTGTTGGAAAACAGCCCATGAGCAAAAAGTCCCTTGAGAAACATTTCCCTCTCCTCTTCTGGAATTACTAACTAGGTAGGACCCAGAGGTCTGACTGTAAAGAGTGACCTCAAATGAATTTCAGTTTCCAGGAAAAGAGAATCTAAGATTATTTTCTCCTCCAAGGAAACTGAGCTATAGTTGCATCCGGAGTTTGTGTGTTGGTAGCTTAGGCACATGTAGGTACAGGGCTTGGCTGTGCAGTCTTAGAGGGAAAGGACAGAGGCAAAAGGTGCTCATTCTTCTAATTCACAGTGTTGCTTTCCAAAACATAGAGGACCTAGCCACTAGCAATAATCCAAAAACCACAACAAAGCTATGGAAATGGATACACATGCGATTGATAGATAACCCCTGCCACCTGCTACAAAGGTTAGAACTGGGTTTGAAGTGGGGCAAGGATTGAGCTGCCTTGCTCAGTGGATTAAATGTCCTGACTGGTGTCTGGATAAATGAACTACTCTCCTTTCCTAGTCTTTGAAGAATGCGTGAATGACCGCCAGTTACGGGGAAACACTCATCCTTTTGGGGCTGCCTGGGGTGTCTGAGGCTGAGGGGGCTGTGGCAGATTCTTCAACAGAGGCACTGAGATCCAAGAATTCCAGAATGATGTCCCCAAGGCAGTAGATCAAATGTCTGAAAGAAATGGATAGAACAACTTAAGAGTTCAGTCAAGAAACACAAGATTCTGTTTATAATACTTATTTTCTTTACCCACTTACTCATTACCTTTTCAGCAACAGTCTGATGAAGTGGTTGTTGAGCTGCTAAAGGCTACAACCCCATCAAAGGCAAAAAGGGAACTTTTATAAAGGGGACTTTTATAAAGTACCATTTCTCTGTGGACAGTGACATTAGCACATCAGTACTTCTCTGAAGAGCTGGGAGGGGAAATTACTGGGATGGCATGTTATTGACTACGGTCACTTCTCATACTAATCACTATAGATTTACAGGCTACTCTACATTCAGGGGGCAAAACCTGCACCAAGGAATTGACTTTGATGTAGGGTTTGAGAAAAGAATATAAGAACATTCTAGACTTTCCCAAAGCATTCCAGCTTTAAGGATGGAGTCTGCTTCTTGTAAATTATTCAAGGAATTGCCACTCAGAATTATCTGATTTCAATTTTATTATCTTTGGTATTTCTTTTTAAGTAATGACAACTCATAATATCAACACTCATCACAAGTGTTGTGAGGCTGGGAACCAATGTTGAAAGTCAAGGTATGTCCTGTGATGTACAGGTCAGTGTGTGGTCTTGCACGTTAACAGGGGCTGGCAGATGTTGGAAAGATCTATTATGCACACTGAAGTTGCAAGCCTGCAGTTAGCAGAGCATTGTTGGCCATTCATACCGGTTCTACAGTGAGTTCTGAATACAAATAGCTGGTCTAACAGGAACTTACTACCATGGCACAACCTGCTCAGAAGCCTGAACACACGGATTTTACTTAGTGGACATCAGACAATGCAATCAGGAGACCAGACAGAGCAAGGCAAGTGTATAATCACATTCTTCTGGATGTGGGATTTGAAACCATCTATGGCTTTCCCTATGTTGATGGTGGTGGGCATGCATGCTTCAGTTTACCTGTTGATGAGAGGTTGCTGCAGTGACTCTAAAATGAGATTCCAGCTTAGCCGGCACTTGTTCACCCCCAGGATTTCTACCAAAAAATCTGACGAGGAAAAAAAAAAAAAGACAGAACTTTTGCATCTTTATTGAAACTTCAATCTCAGAAGAATGTCTCCCCAAAATTTCTGCCATTTTACATAGATAGGTGCTTTCTGGTCTAACTCCAAAACACACAGCCAAATGATGACTTCATAAACTAGAGAAAAGACAATAAAAATGTTCCCTACGTTAGGTATCTAAGTAGAAATGTGCTTTAAGAAATACTCTTTGGGCTAGGAAGGTGGCTCAGTGGTAGAGCGCTTGCCTTGCATGCATCAGGCCCTGGGTTCGATTCCTCAGCACCACATAAGCAAAAAGAAAAAAGCCGGAAGTGGTGCTGTGGCTCAAGCTAGCCTTATGCTGAAGAGCTGAAGGACAGCGCCCAGGGCCACAGTTCAGGTCCCACGACCGGACCCCCCCCAAAAAACCCAAAGCAACAAAAAAAGAAATACTCTTGTAACCTGCCACAAAAGTGCAGGTTACTTCTGTGGCTCAAGAGAGAGTTGTTTCCTGGTTACTAAAGCTGTAGGCAACAAACTACTTTCTCTTCCCTTTAAAAACAGCATATAGGAAGAAAATGCTTTCACAGGTCTTTTTACTATTGCTAAGTTGTAAGCTCTGGAGGACTTACAGTCTTTCCCAGCCCCATAACCCCGTAAGTTGGTAGAGAAGCTGACTGACATGTTCACTGAACAGGAATGCTTCTGAGACTACTTCTGTAGATACAGCTTCCTTAGATCCAAAGAGTTTTTTGCTTGTTTTTTTTTTTTTTTCCCTCTAGTATTGGGGCTTGAACTCAGTGCTTTGTTCTTGTCCAGCTTGCTAGCTCATAATTGGCACTCTACCACTTGAGTCTTGCCTCCAGCCCTGCTTTTTGATAATTGTTTTGAAAATGGAGCATGCAAACTTTTCTGTCTGGGCTTCCTTTGAGCCATGATCCTCCAGATCTCCTCCTGAGTAGCTAGGATTATAGGCATGAATACCTACAATTAGGCAGGAGTTTTTATTTTTTTTATTTTTTATTTTTTTTTGGGTCCAGTCGTGGGGCCTGAACTCTGGGCCTGGGTGCTGTCCCTCAGCTCTTCAGCTCAAGGCTAGCGCTCTACCACTTGAGCTACAGCACCACTTCCGGCTTTTTTCTTTTGCTTATGTGGTGCTGAGGAATCGAACCCAGGGCCTCATGCATGCAAGGCAAGCGCTCTACCACTGAGCCACCTTTTTAATTTAAGTATCTATAGTATTCTCTTCTGGTGCTTAGTATGAAGCCAAGGTGATCAATTCCATTTCCTTGCAATCTCCTGAATGAGGGATAAAAGAATTTCAGCTCTGACTATTTTTCTAGTATCTTAAGACTTTGAGTCGAGCCACATTCAAGTACAGGGTAAAGGTAGTAAAGTTATAAGACCTATTGTATTAAAATTCACCCTTTCATCTGATTACCTGGCAGGATACTCATCAGGCTCTGTAAAGCCTGTTTCCTGGTAGCCACTTTCTGCTCCTGAGTCCTTATAGGCCGTGGAAACTTAGGCAAAACACCACCAGGCCAGATGGACTCCTGAAGAAGTTGAAGGTACTGCACCCAGCGCTGTGGACATGTTAGATTAGCCACCTGTACCTCTAGCCACCTGTGGTAGAAAAGAGAAAGAAGTGCAAAAATCTCACAAGGAAATGGAATATAAAACAATGAATCTGTCACCCTCCAGGTCTTATGTGAACATTCTAACTGTAAAGTGGCGGCATGAGGGGATTACGTCATAGGTAGAGCCATGGTCAATGAGGCCAGTGCTCTTATAAAAGAGACTCTTTAACCACATGAGGATATAGGGAGAAGACTGGAAGTCTATGAATGAGAAATTGAGTCCTCAGAAAATACTGACCTGCTGGTGCATGGCTCTTGAACTTCCTATCCATAAGAATTGTGAGGAACAGGTTTCTCTTTATAAGCCATCTAGTTTATGGTATTTTCTTATAGCAACCCTAATGGGCTAACTAACACAGCACAAATTATGTGAGCAATCTAAACAGGTCAAAGCAAAATCAGCACCAATTCTCAGAGTGGAAACCAAGTCATCTGAACTGGGATCACACAATTTGAAAACATGCAAGAGTAAAAATAGTGAATTTACTGAGTGTTCACTGTGAGCTTTATACTGTACCAGGGTTTTACAGAATAGAATGTTAAAAGGGTCTCAGTCTCAAAGTAAGAATGCACTGCACCTAGCTTTTCCAGCTCTTGTCCAGGGAGAAGGATTATAAGCGTCTGAGTAACCTGAACACAGAGCTGCCAGTTAGGAGATTGGTGATTTTTATACAATCCTTTGCTCTCTCTCTTGTTACCTGACCTTAACACACTTTTTTTGTCTTGAGAAATGATTACATCTGCCCTTTCTCACAGTCCTGTCACTTATAAGACCCTCTTCTCTCCAGAAGTTGATGCGGGCTTTGCTGGCAGGCCCTACTTAATCTCAACTTCCTCAATGAAATTTCAAGCCAGACAGCTCTCCTCTTATCATTTGGCACTTAATGCTATAGTGTAGGTCTAGAGCTGCTATATTACTTTGGAATATGAGTTAGGTTTATTTCTTCAACTAAATTATAAATGTTACAAGATTTCTGGGTCCTGCACTTATTAACAATTTCCCAAAGTGCCTTAATGTTCAAAAAATGTTTGTTGATTGACAACTGTCATCATTGTAATGAATATTTCCTTGAGGGGCAGACATACTAAATCTGGGAAAATCTGGAACATGTTTCACTGTAATTCTTTATTTGTCCCTACATCCTTCCAGAGTGGTATGGTCATGAGTTGAAGTTCAAGACCAATCTCTGGAGAATAGCATGGCTATGCTGATCCTGGACCACCAACTACTTCTACTCATGCCAGAAAACTGTGATGCACAGCAGCTCATGCTATTGCTCCTATGCCCAAATTACTTGTTGCCCATTCAAGAGCAGAGGAGGCCGCCAAGGCAAACTTTATTTAACCTCCACTCTGCCAGACAGTCTGCATTCCACTCAAGCTGGGCATTCCGGTCCTGGGGGCTGCAATCCCCCAAGTCCAGGGCTCACAAATGATTCTAAATATAGGAAACCTGAAAGGTAATAGCAGGACAAGAATGGCAGACATCGATGGAGATCAAGAGCGGCACAAAGCTGCTCTTGCCCAAAATAGCTATCACGATCGTGTCTGTTATTATTAGGATTGCATCTCCTTTTCACAAGGCCTTTCATTAAGCGAGCCTAAGCCGCCTGACAAGAGGGATCCAGTAGCAAGAATTCTTGTTCCTGTTTATAGAAGAGGGTCACCAGAGGGAGGTGGCTATGACCACCTGATTGGGTTCTTTGCAGGGGATCAAGTGACTCAAAGGTTCCCTTCTCCATCTCAAACTACACACAACCACTGCACCTTCTACTGAGGTGAATGATGTGTTTTAGATTCTCATTTAAGAGACTGTAGAGAGGGGCAAAGCCTTGCTACCCCAAATCTTCAAGGAATCTAGAGATTCCTTAATTCCTAGATTTTGTTCTAGAAACACAGCATCCTGAATCAGCTGTAGCTCATTTTATCATCCACATATTCATAGATGCCAGTCTACCCTTATTTCTGTCTGGGGTCAAAAATGCCCATGATTCAAGTGCTTCAAAAGCTGAGCATCAAAGACTAAGCATATTATACAATCAGAAAACCTCGGTTATCTTTGGGCCTACCATACAAGAAAGGAGTCAGAGTCTTTTGAATTAACATTAGTCTATTAGTGGGAAAGGACCTCATACTGCATTATGACAAGGATATCTTCTTGGGTCTCTTCTTGGTGACAGATGTTGGAAGAAAAAGGAATTTTAGTATTTTGCAAAATAAGAATTTATACAAAGCTCTAAGGCTATAACTTCTCAAGCTCTAAGTGGGGATGTTGAGAAGAAAAGTCCAAGTCTGAAAAGGTAAAGTGAAGCATCTGATAATGAAGATGAGTCGGTAAGTCAAATTTGTGGGAAGAGAACAGCAGAACTGTTTATTAGGATTAACACCTCCAAGTAATATCAACTGCTAATAAAAGAAGTCACTCTTAAGCACTGTAACCCAAGGTACAGTTGGTCACCAGAAGACCCTGGAGGATGGTCCCAGGACTGTTGGAAATAGACTTGTATAAACAGGCAGGAACCAAATAGAACTTCAGGGCTACAGAGAGGAGCAGAGATCAGAGTGGCTTTTCTCTCTGTATGAGAGCTTGAAGAGAGTCAACTTTCCTTATCTTTTCCCAGACCCTACAGATCACACACTTGGACTACAGTACATCGCATTTAATACAGTAGCAAAACTCTCCTTTGGGTTCTTCCTGCTTGTCCTCCTCTAGAAAACAAATGCTTTCCCTCAGACCCTTGGCCTCAGTGTGGTCACTTTCTAGTTCTACAAGGCAGGCTCTGCAGTACACTATGTGCAACCAATCTTTCTGGTCCACACAGCTTCTGGGGATAGTATCTTGTCTTGAACCATGACTACAAAGCCCAAATCAAGAAAATCCCCTTTATAACTACCCCTGCTCAAGCTGCCATATATATATATATATTAGTAGCTCACATTTATGAGTTACAATCCAATTTCTAAGATATGCTTTATTATTATCTACAATGTCTTTTAAAAGTTTCAAATGGCCAGATTCACAGATCTGGTATAATTTGTTGATATCTAGATATAAGCCAATGCCAGTGGACCTTTTTTTTTTTCCCCTTTTTGGTAATACTGAGGTTTGAACTGAAGGCCCTGAAGTTGACAGACAGGCACTCTTCCACTTGAGCCATACTCCCAGATCTTTTTGCTTTAGTTATTTTTCAAGCATATTCTGGTATGTATGCCTAGGCAAACCTGGGACTGTGCAACTCTGATCTCTTCAAGGATGAGCCATTAGCTCCAGTTGCCAGTAGATTACTGATAACAAAGAAAATGGAGATTTCTTCAGCCAATAACATTTTCTTTTTTATCCATTTCATCTTCCTTTCCTTTTATTCTGTCATTCTTTTCGGAAATAGAGCTTCATCCATACCTCCATCTCTTTATTAAACTGTACTAGGCTCATGCCTGTAATTCTAGCTACTCAGGAGAAGCTGAGATCTGAGGAGCTGGGTATGAAGTCAGTAGGGCAGGAAGTCTGTGAGACTTCATGTCCAATGAACCACTAAAAATCTGGAAGTGAAGCTATGGACCAAGTTGTAGAGTATCAGCCTTGAGTGATAACCTAAGGGACAGCACCCAGGTCCCTGATTTCAAGCCCCAGTACCAGCACAGAAAAAACAAACAAACAAATACACAAAAGAAAACAAGACAAACAGATCTATGACCCTATAGCTCCTTAAAGCAAAGGAATGGAACTGATGTGTTACAGGAATGTCTTCACCATCTGTTTCTAGAATCTATATTCCTTACTCTTTCTGTCTGTTTGCTTATTTTTGAGACAGTCTTGCCATATAGTCCAAGCTGGTGTTTACTTGAGATCCTTCTGCCTCTGCCTCCTAAGTGCTGGCCCTGCTGCCATGCAGTATCATTCCCTGCTTACTTAAGCACTTAAACTAATGGGAATCTAAAGTTTCAAGGTGGATGGACACACATCATCATCATCATCATCATCATTATCATCATCATCATTATCATCATCATCTTTCCATGATAAACTTCATTTACCAAATAAAAATGTTATTGTTTATGTAATATGATACGCATGAGGTAAACATGTTAAAATAATATGGTAGAAATAGCCTCAAATAGCTTTGGTTTTCTTTTTCAACACTGTTCTGGTTCTAATGTTTGATTTAGACAGATCTCTTCCTATTGTTATACTTGAATCCTCAAAGAAAAGGAAAACCCAAACGGTCTGTTCTGTTAAGCCATTTCTGGGATGGCTCACAGTACATAGAAGCCTTACTTCTATAGTGGGTGGCGGGGGCGGCGGGAAGGAAAGAAATAGCCTACTGCATGAAAGAACAACAACAGATTGACACTGAGATGTTTAAGAGCTGTTCTTATGCCAGACATGGAAGGAAGGAGGATCTGGAGATTAAAGGCTTGCCAATATATGGGGGGTACATTCTATTCCATGTTCAAGAGAACCTGGTCTGAAATAGCTAGATGGAGGAATGAAGTAGTAGACAAAAAGGAGATGGTTTAATACCAGGACTTAAGATGGTGCTTCAAGATTAGCAGAAGGTCACTTCCCATTAAAAAAACAAAACAAAACAAAAACAGACGAATCAAATTTCATGAATAAAAGGAGAAGACTGGGGGAGATCAGGCTTAATCCAGATAACTAAATTCCCTCCACTTCTTTTGTAAGAGATCCGTCATGGCTAAGTGAGAAAGGGTCCTAAGTTATTGTGACTTTACAGGCAAGAGACAGAAAGAAAATAGTCAAGTCAAAAATTAGAAAAATATTCCTAAGAGCACTACTACTATTCTAACAAAGATACCTGCTGTGGTCTAAGTAACAAACAAAAACCAGGTTTCATTCCTTATAAGCTGGTAACCCCAAGTATGAATATGCCTCAGCTTTATCCTAAGGCACAAGTACAGTTCAAAGAAAAGGAGAGAAAAATTTGCTTAAAGTTGATCTTTAACAGCCTGTTCTTGTGCTTATAG